AAAAGAGTAAAAGAAAGCAAGAGAAGAGGGAAAAATTCAAATTTATTGTGATTTTGCCCCTATTTGGTGGACATTAAAATCAAAATTTTACTAAAATTTTGATAAAAGTTAAACGGTTATGGATTTCATGAACTACGTTATTAAAATTAATTGTTAATTTTGATTTAGATTAAAATTTAGATTTCAATTGATACCAAACGTGACTTTATAAAAAAAAAAAAATCTCAAAAGTTGGGGAGGGTCACGTGACCCCCCCGGGTCCGCCAGCGAACGCGTTATTATATGTATAATTATTTATAAGTTATTGAAAATATGTCAGATTTATTTATATTCAATCTGTAACGCAAAATGTCCTTAGTCGAGGCCAAATTCATTTTTCATCAATAGTTTGACACATGCATAATTTTTCGGGACAAGACTTGAATTAAAGAACTATGTCTACTGTAGCATATCGTCTACAGCTGGTCGAAGGGTCACATTTCTTTGATCAAGTTTATTCAACGATATTAAGCTGTCGAGCTAGACAGTTGATCGTTAACATCATTTCTATGTTCCAGCTATAAGTAGGCCCTGTTAGATGACATTGATGGCTTCACTTTTTTGCCTACAAAATAGACAAGGAAGGAAGGGAGGAAAGATCATCAGCTTTATCCTTAAACTATTAACTATTTTTTGTATTTCTCCTATAAATTAGAATTGTTTCTCAAGATTATACTATTATTATAACGCAAGTCGGGCTATTCCAGTTACATTTCACAGCTTCTTTATACAAATATCAAGTTAAAGAAGTGAAAAGCAAAGTTTCTGTATTCTCTATCATGGCTGCACTCTTGTCTGCTTGGCCATGGGAAACGTTGGGCATTTTCAAGGTACTAGTTGCATCTGTTTTTATTTATCCTGAATTTAATTAAATTCCATTTTTTCCTGGCATTTCTTTAAGTGCATGCTTGGGCACGGTATAATGGACAAGATTTTAGCTTTCTCGATACCATCTAATGCTGTTTGTTTATCACAAACATGTACAAAGGTTTTGTGTTATGGGTTTTTCTTCTGATATAATTTCTTCTGTCATAACAGTATATGCTATATGGACCGTTCGTGGCTAAAGTTTGGGATTCAAGATATAGAGAAGCTGCCAACCAGAGCAGTTGGTGTCTTCATATTCTGATTATATGTTTGCTGAGGGGTGTGATGTATCTCTCATGGAATGCTTACAGTCATATGCTTTTTCTTACTCGGAATCGCCGGATTTTCAAACAAGGAATTGATTTTAAGCAGATAGACAGAGAATGGAACTGGTAATCTTCCTTTCTCAATTCATGGCTTGGCCCTTTTTATGGCAGTTATTAGGTCACAACCCCTTTCTTCTATATTTTTCGA